CGCCGCCACGCTCCACCCTCCTCCGCCCTAGTCCCTGCTACCCGGCTGCTGCGCCCCTTCCCCTAAAAGGGAAAACTCCCCCCTTCCTTCATTGCGCCCCCAGTCTTTACCGCGCGACTGCCGCCGCCGTGCCCTCTCCCGGCGGTCGGCTCTGTGTACAAGAGCTGTCCTGGTGCTACACGGACACCGCACGCCGCCCCAGTCCGGGGACAGCTCGCCTTCAGCTGCCCGTTCCGCCGCCGAGTGTATGCCAAGATGCCAGGTACGCCCGAATTTGGACCTCCCAATCCCTCCCGCAGTCCGGCCGAAATAGGTCGCGCGATTCGTGGCCCTTGTTGTCCCAAGCTGACTCCTTGTTGTCCTCTTCTTGTTAATTTTGTAGCCGGGGAAAAGGAGGAGAGGGTGACCATGGAGGTCACCGACGAGATGCTCAAGACCATGGAGGTCGGCTTGGCCTTCCGGGACTATGTAAGGCCTTTAATTCGTTTCTCTTAGCTCTGATTGGAACTATGAGCTATCCCTTTTCGCTTGATCTTTTATCGAAAAGCAAGAAGCTCATGCGGATAGCTGATTGTCTTAGGGTGTGTTTGGATTGCCACCAATGTCTGCCCTACCAAATTTTGTTCATGGCCAAAACATTGGTCTTTGTTTGGGTGATTGCCAGCTTTTAGGCATGACAATGCCTCTCTCTGGCAATCTAGTTCATTTTTCTAGCCAATGTTGGCCAACTTATTGGCAAGCAAAACCTCAACCTAAATCACAAACCAAACACACCCTTAGTACTGGAGCAACTTACATTGGTCCGAAGAGGGGATTGTAGTAGTGTTATTAGGTTTTGTAGAAGAAAAAAGTAGTGCTTTCGCATTGATTGCAAGATGGATTGAAATAGTGCTTCCACCTTCCAGTAAGGACTTAGCTAATCCAAATTCCAAAGGAGTAGAGATGCTTGTGGACTTAGTTTAGATTGCCAGAATACAAATACATAGAGTTTGGAATCTTCTATATCTAAATAGCCAGCCCCCACTAACCTACTTCTCTCAACATGCACATATGCCACCTCAACACGCAAATATGGATGAGAAAAGGCCCACCTCAACATACAAACATGCATGGGAATAGATCCACCTCAATAAATAAATATAGCAAATCATGTGTACTTTTTGTTTTAGTTCTCATATTATTAAGATAAATACTCACTCCGTAAACTAATATAAGAGTGTTTAGAGGGTGTTTGTTTACAGGGACTTATTGGTTTAGGGACTTAAAAAAGTCCATATAAGTCCCATCTAAACCAAACAGGAGGGACTTATAGGGACTTAAAGTGGGCATTTGGGGCTTATGAAATAAGACTCTCAAGGAGGGACTTATAGGGACTTATAGTTGTAATATGGTCTTTTAGTCCATGTTAAGTCCCAGGAACCAAACATGTAGGGACTTTTTAGGGACTTGGGACTTATAAGTTGGAACTAAAAAAAGTCCTAAGACTTATGAACCAAACAGGGCCTTAGATCACTACTTTAGTAATCTAAACAGTCTTATATTTCTTTACAGAGGGAGTATATATGTTCCATACAACCAAATCTCATAGGAAAATATTGCTATCAATTCCCGCTGCAACGCACGCGGTGTCATCTATTGTACATTGGATAGTAGTGCTTAATGGGTTTGTTTTAGTAGTCTTTTTTTGTTTTTACATTAATTGGATACCATAATATCAAATTGCAAACGGTGTTTTGAACTAACTACGAACAACTTGCTGAGCTTAGAACATAATAACAGCCACCTCTTAGAAGTCTGCTCCTAATTTTGTATTTGAAAAGTCTCTCCTTTCAAAGAAGCATGCATGTGATGAATGCTTATATTTTTTCAGCTTACATATAGTCACTTAATTTTACTTTACATGCATCTTTTCCAGATCATGACATATTTCACTTTACCATAGTAACTTGATATTGTGCTATACAATAATTTTATGGCAGATTGGCAGAATTAGTTCTATGGATTTCCACAGCAAGGCTACAAACTATCTGGTGACAGCCAGTGATGATGAATCGATACGCCTATATGACATTCAAAATGCTGTGTGAGTACAAATTATTACTTAATTTTCTTCTGAAGTTCATGTTATATAATCAGTAAAGAGCTTGATTATATATTATTAGCACAAGACACAATTTCCTAAGATCTAGCTTTGATATTTGGTTTGCTAGTTGTTCTGTTTACTATATAGTACATTATGTTATTGTTGGATTTGTTTAATATGCAATGGTTTTGGTTAGGCTATACTACACTTGGCTTTTGAAAATGATTTGTTCGACAACTATATGTGGTAAAACCAATATTTGAAAGCAGTCTAATAACTAATTATAAATAGAATTTGATATATATCTGATCAGGGGATACACATGATGCCACTCCAAGCCAGATGGCACAGCCTCTCCCGGTCCAGCCTGGCATTCTCTGTATGCCTGGCCCCACATGATTACTGTATTTATTTTTTGTACTAGTAGTTTAGCAAATTTCCTAGTATGGAAGTGACTCAATGCATATAGACTATTGTAGTAATTGTATTTTTTTAATGTAGTCAGTGCTGTATTAGTCCATGATATGTATTTCATTTCTAATGAAGTTAAAAATTTCAGATGTTTGAAGACCATTAATAGCAAAAAGTATGGGGTTGAACTGGTGTGCTTCACTACTAACCCAACTCTTGTCTTGTATTCCTCGAAAAATGGTTGGGATGGTAAGTAATATACCCTGTCTTCGCTTAAGAGGGGTTTAAGACGTATACTGAAAAGAATGCACTTTTGCAGAATCTCTGCGTCTACTCTCTCTAAATGATAACCGGTTTGTAAGATATTTCAAAGGCCATCTTGACAGGTCTGTTGTACGTAAGACAAATTATGGCCACATATTTCAGTTAATCTAACACGAACAAAAAATCCTTACGCTGTTTGCCTTTTCCAGGGTTGTTGCTATGTCATTATGTTATGAGAAAGACAGTTTTCTATCTGGTTCACTTGATCGAACTGTTCTCCTATGGGATCTGAGGGCTGACAAAGCACAGGTACAACTATTGATACTGTAAACTAGAAAACGCTATATAATAAAACCTCTTTCTGATTGGTCTTTCGTCCATGTCACTTAACTACTCTCTCCTTCCATCTATATAGGGCCTAATGCGTTTTTTAAGACCGTCTTTGACTATTGACAAGATTAATAGTACATGACATGCACAATGTGAAAATTGTATCATTGAAAACTCCTTTCACACATGAATTTAACGGTGTGCATTGTGTAAGTTGCATGTCATATATTATTGCTCTAATATTTGGTCAAAGTTAGCCTCGAAAAACGCATTAGGCCCTATATAGATGGAAGGAGGGAGTAGCTGCAATTACAGTTAACAGAGCTATTATGGATTTGTTTCTACTTTTTCTTCTCTGTTAAACCATCTTCTTATTCTCCTTCAGATGATTATCCTGAAGCTAAGTATACCAAGTACTACAGTTGGGATCGAATCCTTAACATTCCTGTAGTTGTTAATATTTTTGTTCCGGGATGATCATTATTGGATTTGCAGTGGTAAAGCTGCTGCCTTGTGACCATGAGGTCACGGGTTCAAGTCCTGGAAACGGCCTCTAGCAAAAATGTAGGGAAAGGCTGCGTGCAATAGACCCAAAGTGGTCGGACCCTTCCCCGGACCCTGCGCAAGCGGGAGCTACATGCACCGGGCTGCCCTTTATGATCATTATTGGATTTACTGTATTATTATTTTAAAGGCACAAGGTGTCTTGGATATGGTCAATTTATTTATCTGGATTTCTTAACATCTAAACACATATGGTGGCATCATAGTTGAAGTATTGGATGATTTCTGGCCAGTAAAATGTTCCCTTTGGATTTTGTAGGGCTTGCTGCGTGTGCAAGGGAGGCCCGCAGTTTCATATGATGATCAGGGTTTAGTTTTCGCAGTTGCTTATGGTGGTTATGTAAGGATGTTTGATGCTCGAAAATTTGAGAAGGTATTAGTGATTGAATGTGTTGTTTGACTTGAATTGTTCGATACGTTTTAACTATCTTACATCCCTAGGGGCCTTTTGATATTTTCTCCGTTGGTAATGACGAATCAGAAGCCAATATGATAAAGTTCAGCAGTGATGGAAGGCGGCTTCTTTTAACCACCAAAGCAGGGTGTATTCATGTGCTAGATTCATTTCATGGCAACAGTGTAAGCATTTGAACTACCGACTGTCATTCAAGTAATGCAGGCTGAAGGACTTAGAAAACACTCCTATGACCTTGGAAAACACTCCTACGACTACCTTTTTTGCAGCTAGCAACTTTCAATGTTAAGCCAGTTGTAACCAATTCGACATTGGAGGCATCATTCAGCCCTGATGGAAACCATATTATATCTGGTTAGAAACCCTTCCCTATCACCCTTTCCTATCATCACTCCATTCTCTTTTCTTAACTAAACCAGTAACCTATTCATTTATTTTATTTTTGTTCTTGCAGGCTCTGGTGATGGTAGTGTTTATGCTTGGAGCGTTAGAAGTGGAAAGAAGGTATGGAAGAACCTGGCATGTTACTTTTGTAGTCAAATTATTATGTATATGTTTTAGTTGCTTATAAGTGACACACAATGATGGTCGGGCCTGCAGGTTGCGCGGTGGGGGAGCACAGATAGCGAGCCACCATTGGTTAGGTGGGCTCCAGGATCGTTGATGTTCTTGACTGGATCTTCAGAACTATCCTGCTGGGTCCCGGACCTATCGAAGCTGGGATCGTTTGCCGTTACCAAGTAAACTGATTGTTCTTGTAAGTTTGCGTACATTACTTTTATCCATCTGCATAAGAGTAATTTGATTTTCCCACGTTAAGAAAAAAAGCTCGTTGTTTTCTGTAGATACTGACATTTGACGGATCAATGCGGCTTATCAAGTATGCATATCTAGGTAGCAAGGATGATCGACTTTCCACTGGCATTCAGCTGTGAATATGAGGAAGAATAAGCTGTTGTAGCACATTGTATGTCTAGATGTTGGCCTCTCATCTCTCATGTGTCGTTAGGCTTTCCGCGACACTGTTTGCCTTGGTAGAGTGTATGTATAACTGTAAAGTAAGCTCCTCATTGCACACAGATGTGATATTGAATTGAAACCATGAGCTGTGTGAACAGGTTTTAGCGATTTATCGTGTTTTATTATAATCATGTAGCACTGCACTCAGTATGATGCCAGTAGCTGATATTACTGTTTCGAAGTGTGAGCTTGCCAAATTTACCTTTGTAACGAGGTGAAGTGGTGATATTAATATCTGAACAAGCAGATTTGCTTTACTAAGTGGTGCCAAAACACTAGTAACGTACGATGCAAAAAACAAGCGGGAATTTGCGATCCTGTACTGATATACAAATGGTGCTGAGCAAATGCGCAATGCAAAAAGTTAGCTTAGTCATTTCCTGGTCTGCTGAGCAAACGGCCGGTCATGGTTTCCATGCCGCTATGCTGCTCACTTGTGCTAACAGGCTTGCGAAGAAACTTCTGATCTCAGATCGCCGTCGGCCGTCCCCTGGACCTGCGCGGCGTACTGCAGGTTCCAGAGAACCTCTTCGATGGAGGGCCGGGTTGAGGATTCAACGGATAGGCATTTGATCGTGATGGAGACCACCATTGACAGTGAGTCCTGCGATGAGGTCCCGAGCACGACCGGATCCAGAACGTGCTCACGCTCTTCCTGGCATGATAGAGACATAACCTGCAGATACAGGCAAATATTTCTCAGACAGTGAATTAGTGTTCTTTTCGCTCATAAGTGTTGGCACAAACAAAGCATATCCATGTTGGCTGCAGAGAGATGTGGGGCCTTAGCCGAAACACTGATCATGACAAATTAGTCAGGATACTGAATTCTGTATGAGCTTCTCTGTGAGCAGCATCACTGAGAAGGTTCATGCACCTAACAGATCACTTTTAGTTTACTACATACACATGTCTACTACTCCCTCCGTTTCTAAATATAAGACCTTTTAGAGATTTCAAATACGGGCTACATACGGATGTATATAGACGTATTTTACAGTGTAGATTCACTCGTTTTGCTCCGTATGTAGTCCGCGTTGGAATCTCTAAAAAGACTTGTATTAGGAACGGAGGGAGTACATAGGATGTATGATAATGATTCTGATAATTTAATCTCTTAGTAGACAGACCACAACCAACTCAGATCTTTATAAGAGTAGAGATAAAGATGATTTCACTCCCAAATATCACTAAGAAATCTAAGCCAACACTGCAATCCCTTTCTGGGTAGGCAGGTAATTGTGTTATAACCATGTTAGCAAAAACAAATGTGTATACTAACAGTGATAAACCATAGGAAACCCTGTTTTCTTTAGTTATCACATGAGGCATAAAAACAGTAGTACGGGCCTTCTTTGGAGCGCAGATTCTAAAAGGGAATGGATGGAAAAACATAGGATTGGAGTCATGGCTTGTGAAATCATTTTTTTTTACTGAAGGCTTGTGAAATCGTTGTGAAATAAAACCAAGAAAACAAGCGTATTGAGTATTGCAAAGCCAAATAAAACATGAATATGAGGCAAGGATCCATCTAAGCATTGTCTAAATCTTCACTACAAAGCAAGAGGGGGGACACATACCAGTTCACTTAAAATAAAAGGATCTCCTTTTCTATGTAATTTGGAGCCCATAAGTGCTTCAAGTATAATGCAACCAAAAGAACATACATCATCCTGCAAAGTTTCCCTACAAAAACATCGATAGACGTTACAGCTTCGACATGGCTGAGCGCCTGAGCATCAATTTATAGAATGCTTCAACTCTGTAACCAGATTTGCTTATCTATTTTAGTAATTTGGTGCAATGGTAGATGACTCAGGGACTTACAATTCTTCAGCGTTATTTTGTATGTATCTCTGCCTTTCTCCTATTGCCTGTAAATCCAAAGAACTAGTGGCATTAAAAACAAGCATGGATTATCCTCAATGCACATGTATTAAAAAGAGGGGATCAAACATGATATGATACTTTTGTTTAAATGGCAAACCTCATGTTTGTATATCTCCTCTGTGATTATGGACAAACCGTAGTCACTCAGTTTTGCAATATGGTGTTCATCAAGCAAAATATTAGAAGTTTTCAACCGATTATACAAGGAACCAGGAATTATTCCTGTATGTAAGAAATGAACAGCCCTTGCAATGCCGATCAGCACATGTAGTCTATCACACCATTTCAGTGTTTTCTCAGGAGTAGAGCCTGCCAAGAAAGGCATAGATAATTGAATGGTTATCAACTCATATAACCTTAATTGCCCATATTTAGGTGTAGTTCCTTACCAGAAAGATAAGAAGACAGAGTCCCATTAGGTACATATTCATAAACAAGAAAGACCCTTTTTACACTTGACTCATCAACTGCGTTGTCAGTACAGTGCCCCAAGAGGCAAACCAAATTTGGGTGGCGAAGCTTCGCGAGTAGATCTAATCGAAGCTTTAGATTTCTTATTGAATATCTGTGGTGCAATGCCAAACATCTTATCGCAATCACGGTTCCATTCTCTAGTTTTCCCTTGTATAGCTGAAGATCAAGGAAAAAAAAGTGTATGACAACCAAGCTGTAACATATGCAACACAAAAACAGTATGGCTATAGAAACTTGAATGCTAGGAAATTTTCCAACTTGCATCAGTATGAAGTCGAGTAATTACGTTGTTAATATTTTTAGAGGTACTTCTATTATGCTTTTAATATTTAATGTAAATTCGAATTTAATTTGGTGAATCTTTGAACAAATCAGCAAACCTTTCCAATGGATCCCTCGCCTAAAAATGCTGACCGTTCAAAGCATTTTGTTGCTTCTTTCAGCTCTTCTAAAGAAAATACACGATGTGTGGGCATTATTTGCGACCCAAACTTCACGGCTTGAGATATGTACCCTGTAATGAAGAGAGCTAAAAAATGATTCAAAGTGACACGAAATAAAGAAGTAAAACTTTCTCTCCTTGCTCATTCAGGGAGGGATTTGCAAATAGGATATCAGAATTTATTGAAAACATGGAAATACCACCATCTATGCCATTCAGCTGAAGAACATTTGGATACAGTTACAAGGTATATGACAGTGCAGAGTAGGTATAAAGTGGGAGCAAGGGCAGGATAGTTAACATGTAAAAGTATGTGGATTAACATTCCCTGTATAAAGCATCTGAACTCGTAAAGCATCACATTTGCTTCATCTAAGAGCATGGTTAATAGTATAGCCAACATCCGGTTTTATGAAGTTGCCACATCATCTAGAGCCAACCTAATAGCCTGCTAGTACAATAGTTAGTCGTACTAGTATACTATACCATTAATATGTGGCCCCACTTTTTGTCTCACAAAGTATGTTGGCGCTTGTGCCACAGCCGGCTACAAGTTTACAGCCCGCTTCTCTTCTCTCTCCTCTTCTCTCTCCTCCAACTAAGCACAAATACTATATTTAAATCCTTATAGCCTGCTTATGTCACCTTATTGTATACTTGCTCTAAAGAGGAAAGAAATGGGCTGGCTAACTTCACGCATTTTCGTAAGTAGAAAAGCAAACAATGGGATTCAGTTACTGGGAAACAAGTCTTACTTGCACTTTCTAGCAGTTCGGAGGACATTCCTGGAGTCGAATTATCTTGCATTTGCTTTTGCAGCAACTGTTGTTCTGCTGTAACTCTCTGACAGTTTCTTTTGTTTGATGCCATTAGTAGAAGAGAAAGAACAAGCACAATCAGCACTATACCGACAATAGTAACCACAAGTCCAACATCCTTGCCTGATCTTCCCCCCTTATGAGGTTGTTGACAATAGTTAGCCTCATGCTGGTGTTCAGGGTCAGCACTAAAGCAATTCCCGTCAAACTTAACAACCCTGTTATTCAAGTTGGCGCTTAGACAAGCAGGCAGGTCACCTGTGATTCGGTTAGTAGACAGATCCACAAAGCCCAGGGTGCTGCTGCATGTTAAACTACTCGAAAGTGATCCGCTGAGCATGTTTGCTGCCAGGTTCAAGTAACTGATGTTTGGGAGATCAAAGAGTTCTTCAGGAGGACTGCCCTCGAGAAAGTTGAATGAGAGATCAAGGTGTTGGAGCCTTTTCAGTTGACCAAACTTTTCAGGAATTTCACCCTTGAATGAGTTCTTGCTAAGCAGGACTGTCACCAATGCTGTAGGCATGTCTGGAAGCTCTCCGTCCAACTCGTTGTCCCTCAAATCCAACATCTCAAGTTTTACCAAACTACCCAAAGCTGGAACCTCGCCTGAGATATTGTTGCCAGCAAGAGCTAGCTCGGTAAGCATTGTAGCTTTACCAACTGATGCTGGTATTGACCCCTTCAACCGGTTACGCTGCAAACGAAGGACCGTGAGGTTCGAGAGCGAACCAAACCAGTCTGGCACAGTTCCATTGAAGTAGTTACCATCCAGTGTCAGGGTCTGAAGCCTCGACATGGCTGACAGCTTCGGAGGGATCGATCCATACAGAAAATTTGAGCTCAGGTCAAGCACTTGAAGCGAAGACAGCCGGTGAATCTTGTCGGGGAGAGGGCCCCATAAGCCCAAAGACACCAGGATCACAACCCGCAAGGTAGTTAACCTTGTCAGCGTAGTGACAAATGAGTCGATAACAAAGGCTTCAGAGAGGCTAACATTTGGAAGAGGATAGCCACTGAACTTTGGTGGCTTGGTGATCCTATCACCGACGATCTTGAGCTCCGTAACGGCATCCCCCTCGCACGTTACGGTGACCACCGAAGTGGGCTGAGTGTAGCAGGGGTTGCCACTTGGGTTGTTCCAGACTTCCAGCTGCCTAGGGTACTCCAGCTGCTTCCTGAGCTGCTGCAGCAGCTCACTTTCTGAGGACTGCTCGCTTGTTCGGCATAACATCAAACAGGTTATGGCCATCACAAGGGCACTTAACTGCCAAGCCATTGCAGCCCAGCTTTGTGCCCAGACTGTATCTTCTTTCAACTGTCTGCCTGTGTATTATTGGCAAGTTGTACGCTTTCCAATTTCTCAACCAGGAGTTTCAGAGTTTCAGCCAGGATTTTGATATTGAAAGGCAGGGTGGAGAATCGCAGCAGCAAAATTGTTCGTTGAATGAACTTTGCTTTTATTGATCTCACAGGACAGTTTCCTGCGCGAAAATTAACAATTTTTAATAAGTTAGTGAGGACGAAATAATGAAGGCCGAAAGCAAATGTGTCTTATCCTAAAAGAAAGGGTAGCAAATCTGTCACAGAAGCTGATTCGCATAAAATCGCTCACCGTAAAAACAGTCCAAACTATTTTGGCGGCGGGTTGCAGCAAATCTCAAACAAGGTCTAGTCCAGTTTGAACAAGAAAAGCAGAGGGGATAGTTTTTACTTGTTAGCAGTAAAAATATATTTGAAGCTGCAGGCTTGTAAAACTGTTTGGACCCGACAAAGAAAATTACACACTGTGACAACTACAGGGGGGAGAGCATTGATTTTCAATAAGTGCACAACAGCAACTACAGTAAATTGACCATATTCTACTTTAAATACAGATATCTCAAACTCGTCAGTTAATTTTTGAATGAATGTTAAAACTCCTCTTGCAAGCAAAAAGCAGAAGGGGGGAAATGATAAACAAGTTAGATACGCACAAATCTGAGCTTGCAAGCAAAAACATAAAAAAAATACAGCCAAAAAAGCAGCAAACTTGAAGGCAAAACAAAATTGCGGTGGGGAAAGGAAAATGTAATAATTTCTTTGTGTGCATTTTTGGACGTTCTCTGCCATTATCTATACACACAAACAAACAAAAAACTCAAAATGATAAAGCAAATTGAAGCAAATTGGAGTTTCCAGGTAGAGATGTGTGGGGAATCTCTTCACACGGGGAAGAGGAAGAATGCATAAACTTCACTCCAAATCACACACAGAAACAGGGCAAGAAAACTGAAAAGAAACAGGGACGCACGAAGGTAACAAGAACAGAAGCATAGTTTATCAACACTGGAAATTAACCACCGCAGAGAAATAAGAAGAATATCTGACCTGAATGCCGGCCGCCGAGGGTCTCCCCAAGAACCACCGCCGCAGGAGCTTCCCCACCTCCTTGCTCACCCCCAAGTTCAGGAGCGGGCAAGAATTAAGGGAGGGAGAGACGTGGCAGGTGAGACGCGCGGCTGCCCGCGGCGCGAGAGACGCTGGCTGCCGCTGCTGCTGCTTGCTTCAGGGCCCCAATGCACATGGGATCTCTCACCCGCCTCCCCCAGCAAGCGAGCCGCGAGACGGCGACGGGCCTCCTCCACCTGCAAGCGAGTAATGGCCCGTCGGCGGGGTGACGGACGCTCGCGCAGCCGAGCCAACGCTACCCAGCTGCTGCCCACCGGCTACCGCTACACCTCACCACCAGGGAGAGAGATCAATCGAGCAGCCATCCTCCATTGTTACTGCTGTGCTTTACAGTGCTCGGGACGGGGCCTGGCGACTGGCACCGGCGGCAGCAGGGCGAGCAATAAAAGCACGAGGCGGAGTGGTTGGGGCAGCGGAGTAACCGCTTTAATGTCTTTTTTGACTGCGCTGCGCCTCTGGGAGCGGGACTGCCGACTGCGTGGGGAGAGACCGAGAGAGTGAAGGCAGCCAGCCGTCTGGGAAGGATCCCGAGCTCGTCTGGGATCGTCTGCGCTCATCGGTCCTGGTGATCTGTGATGGATGGATACGGTCTCTGCTGTAGCAGTGGAATTTTGCCGTAAGTTTTTGTATAGATGGGTTGATCTGATGTGATCGTTGCCCATGGTCCACGGCTTTGGATGCACGCTACCAAGGAGATTGTCCTTGTATTTTGCACGCTAGTAGATGCATACATAAGGGTGCCCGTTCTTGGTCCAGAATGCAAATGTGTAGTACTTCTCCAAACAGTAAAACACGGATTGACTCCGGGGGTTCACCATCACAATACACTTTCTTTTTATAAATTTACGCTTTTAGTTTAAATTTAAAATATATACGTGAGGTGGTACTAATTTGATGAATTACGTTGTGTGCTTGAACAATGCAAACAATTCCCGCCCGTGCGCTTCGGCCAGTAAATCAGGCCCATGTGTTTTTTATAATTAATCCATTGTTCTATTAGTCTGCTATTAAAAAAAATGGTTCGCTGAAAAAGAAACATACGCATTTGCCTCCTCCTCAACCCTGGGTGTGTGCCCAAGCTGCCGCCACAGCCGCACGGCCGCACCTCATCCCGCTCGCCATCCACGCCGCCGTGGTCGCACGTCAGCCCGCTCGCCGCCGCCGCACGTCATCCCGCTAGCCACACAAGCCGCCGCGGCAGCACCTCAGCCCGCTCGCCGCCCACGCCGCCGCGGCCGCTCGCCGTTCCCCGCCGCAACCAACCACCTCCGTCTCCCATCCACGACTAGATCGACACCCCCTCTAATGGATGCCGCCCCAACCACCTCACCCAACAGGACGCCGGCCCAGCCAACCTCGACAAGTCGTCGCTTGCCCCTACCTGCCTCTACCTCCTCGACGCAGGGCGACTCTGACACTCCTCTGCCTCCTCTTTGAGGACGGCTTTGGAGGACGGTGTTTCCGCAGCTCCGCATCGGACGCGAGCGTGGCATGGAGCAGCTGCCTCCTTTCCCGCGACGAGAAATCCATAGCCCCCTCAATCAGCATGGTAATCTCTTTCTATTATTCACCCTGAATCGGTCTTACACACACATTACATGCTTATGTATTGTCTCAATGATTATCCTATTTTTAGGATTGAACTTGCGTTTTGTGCAATGTCACCAGTTCATGGGGTACATCATGAGTATGTCTTGGAACTGATTCAGAGGCATGTTAATTTTGGAGTAGCTTGCATTCTTTTCCACATGAATAAAATTGATGATACTCGATGTAACATCCCAAAATTCTAAATTTTGGAATGTTATAATAAATAGATTGCTTGATTGATTGTTGTGTGATTGATTGAGTGAAATTCGAAACTTTTTGAAAGTTAAATGAGAGGGAATAAAAGGACTTTCCCAAACTTTCACCTTTTTATTTTTGATCCCCGTGAATTCAAATTCTTTTCATCACAAAACCCTGAAGAGAAGATGACATGACTTCTTCCATTTATTTAAATGCAAAGGGGTGTTGAAAATATTTGAATTTCATCTGGAAATATTTCAAATTAATAAACTTCATGCAACTCAATGATTTTCAAGAGCGAAGATAAAATGACTTCTTCAAAACTTATGAAATATGAGTTGGGAGTTTCAAAGAAACTCAAATTTAAAATCCATTTGAAATAATTATTTTTCAATTTGGGTTATTTGAGTTTTATTCAAATTATTTTTCTCCAAAAACAAAATACATGGAAAATAGGGTAACATGATTCCCTACAATAGAAAATTGGAGAAAAATTTATTTGAAATCATCTTGGTATTTTTAAAATGATTTTTATTGGATTTTATTAGACCAGTAGCACTCTTTGAATTATCTGAATTTGGGTGGATTTTATTTGGCATTATAAGAATGTTCATGCCGTAGAGAATCTTTTTCTGAAAATTTTGATATATTATATGCCTATATAACATATTTGTTTTATTCTGTTTTTATTTGTGTGGAAAATGTTTTTTTAACTTCCTCCTCCTGCCTCCTTCCCCACGCCACCCCTCGACCCCCTATAAAGCCGCCGCCCCGGGCCCCGTCCCCCTCTATGCTCGCGCCGCCGCTCGCCTCCTCGCCGCGTTGCGCCGGCGCCGCCGCCAGATCCGTCGCGCCGCCGCCCACTGCTGCTGCTCCGTGCTTCGCCTTGCCGCCGTCGCATCGCGCGCTGCCCGCGCCGCCCTCTGCCGCATCCGCTGCTCGCCGCCTCCCCTCGCCGCTCGCCTGCGCTGCTGCCAGCGTCTCGCCCCGTCGCCAGAACCGCCGCCGACATCGCCGGACTCGCTAACTGCCGCTGGCGGTTTTCGATGGAAAACCGCCCCGAACCGGTAACCACCCCGGTTTATTCTCGCTTTAGTTCGGTTCTTTAAAAAAACCTAGATCGTTTTTTTATAAAACCGATTTTCTTTTAGATGGATCTATTTAGAGAACCTTCGTTGGTTAGGTTTAGAAAACAAACTTTCGCTTTTAAGTCTTTTCCTTTCTCTGTTAGTTCTAGACAGGGACTTCTTTGTAGATGTTTTATTTACAGTTTAGCCCCTGATCTCAAAACAATCACAACTTTTTACTCGTTAGTCCAAATTCAACGAAATCAACGCCCACTTCTTCGTTATGATCTCCTCTATCCAGTAATCCAAATCAAACATGTTTTTGAAATTTTAAAATTTGAATTAGATTAGATTTAGATTCAAACTTCGTTTGATCATAACTCGAGTTTCGTAGCTCCTTTCCAGTTGATTCTTTTTGCAAATCGAAGCTCTTGACCTAAACTTTCTGATAAGGCCAAATTCACATAATTCTGGTACTGTTAGAAATTGTTTTATGTTGCAAGAGTTATTTGCTTGGTTTTGATGTTTTCCGAATCGTTTTCTTCGATCTTTCTGATCTTTTGAGTGATTGCTTATGTGTGGTTACTATTGCTTGCTTACGATAGATTGACCGGAGTGTGACGAGTAGAGCTATCAAGAGTTTTGAGTGCGCATCATCTTCATCAACATTGCAGGCAAGTTCACACTTTGATCATATTCCTTTCATACCCAGTTTTTATGCATTAGTTTCACCCTCAAACATTGCATGAGTAGGATTGATAACATGTGGGTATTGGGAAGTAGTTGATGAGGTAGGAACCTATTGCCCTGCATTCAAACCTTGGGAGTTACTATTACGTTATGCTTATATTGCCATGCTATGCTCGTACACATGGATTGGGTTTGAGAGTATTCATGACATATGTGAGATTGTTAATTAATGGTTTACTTAAGGTGGCAACTTTAACACACATCTGGGTGGATTGAGGCACCT